TATCTTTAGTTACAAATGGTAACTTAACACTTTTGTTTTTTATATGGGAGTAAATTCAATTAGAGCTGACAAGTTATCGGCTATTGTTTCCAGGATATTTAATAAAAAAGAAGCTTTCATTTCTGGATGGTTTTTACGTCTCTGCAGTAGCAGTTCAATAGTTTTATTTGATGACATTCATTTCAGTCCGATATTTTTAAAGGTAAAAAGTATGAAAACTGCTCAAAATGTTCTTTGAAGACTGCATGGTACCAAGTTAAAGTTTAATGATATTTAATTAAGGTCATTCCCCAGTATTGCAATGCGCATGCCTACTGTGCATAATTTCGCACGTGATTAGCGCGTGCGCATAAAAAAATGGTGGTTTTTTCTATACGGCTGGACCTCGCCACAGAGGTAAATCGTCATTTTCTCGCAAATGAGTATGGTGACCTGTCATTTTTTTCTGTTGTTTTGAATTGAGTAATAAATTTCTTTGTGTGAAATAAATATGGACCAATTCTCAGTGTAGAGCAAAAAACAATCATCAGAAACGTGAATTTAGCTAGCAATCGTGACCACAATCATGGTGCTGTTATAAGGATTTATTGGGTATAAACAAGGTGCTGTTACTCCTAAACAAACATGGGGACCCCCCATTTTTATTTCAAAATTTATGTTCCTATAATATAAATGATCAATAGGCAAAGTTTCACAAAAATCTCAGTGCAGGTTCTATTTCAGTGGAATGACCTTAAATCAGACTTTCGAAGTGTCAAAGAGGTTTTTTTAATCTTTTTTTTCTATTTTTGGTAAAGTAGTGTTGTGTTGTGTAAAAAGGGTAAACTTTCGACTCAAATAAAATGCGTAAAGGTCTCTTGATTAACTTGAGTATTTTTGAGCAAAAATTCCTCTTGGGAGTTGGAAGGGCTATGTGATTGGTGAGTGAGGGAGTTATGCATGTGCACGTGTCACACCAATCACAGTGTGGGTTGTATCAAATAACGAATCAAATTGCCTGTTGGAAAATAAGATGGTATCTACATTAATCTGGAGACATGTCAGATTACTGTACTTTGTTCAGTCAAACATTTTATGGCTTACTATTCAGCTATCTTACCATGACCGATGTACCATCGCATGTAGATCACAAATTCCCAGTTTCTCTCTTGCTGTACATCGCAACCAAAAAAACTTGTCAAATTAACCAAATCGTTATAATTATGTGGTCTGAATTACTACCTGCAATTGGTGGTTTGTCTCATTGGGTTCTGTTTCAATGTTTCATTTCAGGAAGATGATTTGACTGTGGAATGTCATCATGTGAGTTAAGCCTCTCTACATGTGTAGTTGCAGTGTTCCATATGAGAGGGGTTTTTTGCTGGTCAAAAACTTAATAACAATTCCAGCTATATATCTGACCTGAAAAATGAAGGGAAAACCTTTGACATTCGGTGAAACCCATATCTACTGATCTGTTGCAATTCCTCATTTGACACCTTGTCTTTTAAGGTTTCTCTATAGAGTTTTGTTTCTGTGCCTAACGTTTCCAATCAGTGTAATTTCATTAAGTAATTTGTGCAAAGATCTATGTGGATTTGTACATGTGTATTATGTCTGGATTATGAAAACTGTCAATTTCAACCAAACGATCCTGCTTCCACTTTTCCAGGAAGTACACTCATCAGGTTTTTTCAATCAATCAATCACAGGCGGTCTGTCCCTGCACAGCCTACTCATAACCCACCTAGCTTGTGTATGGCGGGCTGGCAGCCGGTCCCTAAGCCTGCATGGCACGGTTAGCCAGGGGTGTCCTGCAAAGAAAATGACCAGTTTTATTGACAAAAATGCCTCTCTCTCTGTGACCCACCCCATCTCCCTGGGTTAAGACCCTTGGGGCCTGGCTTGGTACCAGTTGGTAGCCATGACCCTAGGCTTGTTGCCACAACCCTCCTTGACGAAAGTCCCCCTGGGTTTTCAAGCACCACAATAGCCTGACTGCTAGCTATTGTCAGCAGGCCTGAAGGGGACAGCGTTTTTCATAAATCCAAACATAATTATATAATTTATAATTATATATAATGACCACCTTATTACCGGTAAATAAATATGGCTTTAAAATACATTTATCACCATGACAATGTTACAGTATGGCCAATATTTGCTTTGTAGCCTTAAGGAGTAATTTTCTTTCAATCTGTCTTTGAATGACTCTTCTATTTGGCCACCCAGTGTTGATGGAACCGTTGGTGCAACTCACCTTGATGGTCAGATTGCAGAGTTTCACAGAACCTTCTAGTAAATGATGATGAAAATCAGGCTTTTAGCCAGGATTTGAAAAGTGGGCATCGAAAATTTGCTATTTAGGGCCTGCTCAAATGAACAATTCATAAAGCATTACCTATGAAAAAAAAGAAACAATTTTCTTTAGAAAGTGGCCATCCACATGTACAGGATGCCAAGACACCCATCTGGCTAAAAGCTAAGAATCATAGTGGTACATCATGTTTGACAAATATTAGGTTAATTTGGACAGCTTTCCAATGGTAACTGCCAATTAAATTCCAGGGAATTGTTTTCCTGCAGGTGCACAGAGACTCAAGAATAGCATATGCCATTCTGACTTATAATTAGTAGTGCTAAATATTGTGTTACTTTTGTCTTCAGATGCTGTGGGAATACAAGCAAACATTTGCCAAGGATCCAAAGTTTGAAAAAGCTGTACAGCAAAGATTTTGTGTGGCTGATCTAAAACTGGTGATTGTTATGGAAATCTTCTCTTTCAAGTACTGCAAAAACTAGAATCACTCACAGTAAATGAGTGTTAGTATTTTTATTAATATTATCATCCTTAGGCTAGGACAAGAGACCTGTGTTTCCAGAAATGAGATGAAACTTTGCAAAGGAAGAGTAATTGCTGATCTTAGTCACCAGCAGTGAGGGATCCTTTAACATGATCTTTTGAGTAACTAGGCAATCTTAGTTTATTAAGTATTTCACAATTATCTTTGATACAGTAACTTCAATATCCGTTGTTAATTTTCTTTCTATAGTTGCCTGATTGTCAAAAACCAGGGCAGATTGTTCCATGTTTACTTGAACACAGGCAGAAGCTGACAGTTCCTACATGCAAGCATATGATGACCAAAATGCAAGCAATTGTCTTCAGCAATTTCCATCTGATTTCACACTTTTTGGATGATTGTGCTAATGATGTGAAGACATTTACGTGTGGCAGGATTCCAAGAGAAGATGAAGGAGAGGTTTGAGTTACAAACAGTGATTTATGGAGTATTAATTAATTATGTAATATTCCTTAAAACCATATTTAATATAATATAATATGATGTGATGTGATGCAATGCTGATGCGATGTGATGTAATGAAATTAAATGTATAATTTAATAATGTAATATTCCTAATACCATATTAATACTGTATTTATTAAGCGATGACGTATTGTGTGACGTCATCGTGCAAAGCATGCATTCCTTTGGATAGTGATTTTGCATAGTTTGTCGCGCTTATGTCCGTGCACTGATGTCGCGCATGATTTATCCCCCTGTGGAAACGAAATGCACTCTGGGAGTTCCTTTGGTGCTTTTCTTTGCTGTTTGTAGGTTCAGTGGAGTGCTTTTAATTGTAGCTTTTAAAGGAAGATTTAGGGGCAGATTTTGGTTTAAACAGTATCAGATAAATTTGCATTCGTGGGCAAACTCATAATAAGAACATATCCTCCATACATACAAGTTTAGATAGACAAGTAAGTCACACAGGCGATAGGTGAGGGCTTTGTGCCTTTTTTTGCTGTTTGTAGGATCAGCAGACTGCTTTTAATCGATATGACAAGTATACAGTTAAAACAACAAATTAATTTCCGGTAAGGTAATTAATATTGCCAAATATTTTTGAAGATAATAAGGTGTTGATTTCAGAGAGAGTAACATTCCTTTTCGGGTTTCTTTTGCGGCTTTCCTTTGCTGTTTGTAGGATCAGCGGAATGCTTTTAATTTCAGCTTTTAAACGAAGATTTGAGGGTTGATTTTGGTTTATACAGTGTCGAATAAATTTGCGCTCACTGGCAAACTCGTAATAAGAACATATCGTCCATACATACAAATTTAGATAGACAAGCAAGTTGCACAT